GACATAGCTATTACACCAACTGCTGGTCCCAAGAATGGTTTCTTTAGTGCAGATTTTGCTCAGACCTTTTAAGGTAACTATACACGCTACAACTCTAAGAATGGGTTCTTTTTCTGCTTTTCTTAAGGCTGTAGAATCCTTTACAGATGCATCGCATCACAGTACCAATGTCCCATGGACCATGTGGGGGAGTACTTATGCAGTGTGTTGGGTTGCTGTCGGCCGAAGACACTTCCTTAATCCTTTCATGATGGCTTGGACACTTTCGTCTCTGCCATTCCTTTTTGTCTCCAATATTCCCTAGCAGCATCCCAGTTGAACGTGTTGTAATGAGGGAGAAATTGTCACTTTTTCTAAATGTTGGAAGCATATGCATTTCACTTCCAAGACTCTCTTGCCACAGAGTACTTTAGTTTAGAATCCATCAATGAAAGGCACTTGAATGACACGTGAGGAACAGAAGAGGTACAGAAGCCATCACTCGCTGGCAGTGGCGGGTAGACTTGCTGGCGGGAGGCAGCTCCCAGGCCAGCTTCCATGAATTATCTGCTTTGGTGCTGAAGGTAGCTGCTATCTATGGTAGCTTCCTATGATTCCTATATTACTTACCATTCTGAGAGCTCACAGCAATTCACCCTGTCATGCCCTCTAGGTATCCAGTCACTTTAAAGGCATTTAAATAAATGTATTAAATCCCTTCTGGCTAAATAACTACAGGCATTTCTGATTTTCTGTTCAAACCCTAAATGAAACTGAATATGGAAACCGTACTAGTTCCAGATAACAGACCCTGGAGGAATCTGTAGTTGGCTGCATTACCCAGTTCTATTTGTAATCGGTGATGCTCTTATCAGTAACAGAAAGTGGAGTATTAGTTATCCTTGGCACTCAGTAAAAATCAGTTACCTAGGGGCCAGCAGGTGGTGAGGTGGTTAGGGTGCTAGATTCCCACATGGCTGACTTTGGTTCGAGTCCTGGACCTGGTGGCTTGCTTTCTTACTTTCCCTCCTTCTCTCTCTCTCTCTTGTGCTGTCCCTCTGCAGTCAAATTAACATAAATAAATAAATAAATAAATAAATAAATAAATATTAACTAAAATAATTCTGTATGAGTAAAAATCAGTTACCGAAAAATCATTACTCATAGTTGAAGCACCTTGACTTTAGGGTGGAAATAGGACCGCAGGAAATAGGACCGCAGTAAGTGTAAGGGTGGGCTAACTGCTTCAGACTATGTGGAAGACAACACAGGAGAAAAATGACAAACTCAGGACTGTAGAACCAGAGGGCTAGTCGGTGGCACGGTGGTTAAGGTGGCTGGATCCTGGGGGTGGGGAGGCATGATTTCTCGCTTTATGTCTCTCCAGTGAGTGCACGTGCCCTATAGTAAAAAAAAATCTCTAAAAAAATAACCTGTTGATATATGCTGAAAGCTAAGACTGCTAAGAGTTAAAATTTCTGGTTCTGCATGCTAGGTTACAAGTCTGATGAGAAAAAAAGAGAGAGACAGAGAGAGATGAACTTGGAAAGCCTTTTCAAAGGTTCTCCCATGAAACTCACCTGCCATCTAGGTTATAATTCTCCAGTAGGCCCTTGATACACTCGCTTACCAAATGTCATGCTGGTGAGTCATTCCGATATTTACTCAACATTGTCTGGAAGCTTCTGCAGTTCTTGACATACCCCATATCATGAAAACTATTCATGCCCCGACTCCCATTGGTACTTCTTTTTCACATTTCTGTGATATTTGGGGTCTTAAACATGTTACTGGGATCCCCTATAATCCTCAAGGCCAAGGAATAAGAGAACTAACAGATCAAACTTTAAAATATCAATTACAAAAACAGAAAGAGGGAATCACAGTTCCTCCCAGAGACCAGGTACTATGGCCTTGATAACCCTTCAATTTTATTTATTTTTTTACGTTTAATGACCACAAATTGTCCCCTATGGAAACTCATTTGCTGCCACATCCAACCAGAGACAGCAAAACCCTACCGCTGGCTTTATGGAAACATCCTGAATCAGGCGTTTGGAAAGGGCTGACAAATTGCTTACAGAGAGGAGGGGTTATTCATGTATCCAAGAATCCGGTAACTCTAATGTTCTCTGGGTTCCAGGAAAGAACATAAAACCCTATCAGGAGCGAAAACATGACCCAGGGAATGAAGAGACTGTGTCTCAATGTGGCCGGGCAGTCAGCGAAGAAGAGTGAGCATGCCAAGGACCCAGAACGCATCTCCCATGACGTGAAGAAGACAACGGATGACAATGGCAGTTACAAAACCTGGGACAACCACAAACCCCTGCCAACCTGTTTCTAATGAAGGTGGCTATTTCAGCAACTCAGTAGGACCTGCATCGGAGAAAATCATTGGACACATCTCTCTCAGCCCGTCACTGCCCATGCTGTTTCATGGAGTGATGTTCCTTGCCCCCACCATTTACTTAAATGACATGGCATGCCCACCACCCCACTACTGTCGGAAGGACCAACAGTCCAGTTTAATTAGAACTTCACTGCAGTCTCTTCTTTCCTGCCTCTATGTTTAGCAAAAAATTGCTCTTGCCTCTCTTAACGCATCTGAATTATTTCTAAACACGTCTTTTTTTCTTTATTTGGTGCTATAATTTTCTTAGTAATTCTCTGTGTTTTATTTTGCATAGTCTGCCAAGACAGAATGAAAAAAAATGTTCTCAACAAGGACATCTACTTCCACCATTTGTCAGGCTCACTTTACAGCAAAAACAAAAAGGTGGATATGTCGGAGACCACCTTATGTGACGAGTACCCAGATCTGCTGGAAAACAGCTTGAGCGACCTGGCACCCTGGGTCCTCAAGCACAGGAGACCACACACAGTCTCCTGTAACCTGTTTCCCAGAGAAGCAAGCCAAGCACTACTGGGTTACTATGCCGTGTCCTACATAATATAACAGCTCTTCCATGCTATGCTTTGTGTTTCCAAGAAAATACTTTATTTCCTGCTG